GTACTGTTTCCCCAATCTATTTGTTTTTATACTTGTTGTTTCTAGTTGTTTTACCCAATCAGTAGTTTTTTTTCTTATATGCTTTACTTCATGGTGCCTTGTTATATCTGAATATTTTATTCTAAGGGTTATTTGTTTGTTTATAGTTTAAATCTAAATATTGTCATATGTCTCTCAGTTTATTTGTAATGAGGGAAAATTACATTTTGCCTACCTAACTATCCGAAATTTTACACTTTACCTACAATTTTTTTTTTTTTTCACTTTGCCTACCTAACTTTGATTTTTTGTACACTTTGCCATTTTTGGTCACCGCCGGCCACACGTGTCAATAAGGCACAAGAGCCACATATTGGTTTATGAGGCTGGCGGTGACCGGAAATGGCAAAGTGTAGCAAAAAATCAAAGTTAGGTAGGCAAAGTGTAAAAAAAAAAAGTTTTGTAGGCAATGTGTAAATTTCCGGATAGTTAGGTGGGCAAAATGTAATTTTCCCTTGTAATGATCTGTCTTTATAAATATGAATTTATACTGCGTTGGTTTTTAGAAAGTTTAAATTTAAATTTATTTAAAAAATACGACAATAATATGGTTTTTATTGACTTCTGATTTAGTTGCAAATTATTTCAGAAAATAAAAAGTAGATTTAGTTGTACATCTTCTGATGTACTCTTTTTAAAACAAAGTTATGAATTAATATTATTGTTTTTCCTTCACTTTATCAATGTGTTATTTATCTAAGAAAAAGATATCACTTGATGAATTACAAACGGATAATTTTTTGTTGATCTTATCCTGGCTGATAAGATTAAGTAAACTTTTTAATTCTTATCTACTATGTAATATATAAGATTTTTAACAATTTTTGTTTATATGTAGATAAAACAGAATGGAAAAGGCAATACAGATGTAGAAGAAAAGAAACAACATATAAGAAAAAAAGGTAATTATTTCTTATAGAAATTCAAAGAACCCTAAGATACACTTCCATCAGTATACCATATGGAGTAGTATCTTGCTTGGGTCTTTTGTTGCCCAATAGGCTATACCCGCTGCTCAATCTCTTCATGTAGTTTGGATTATGTGCTGAAGTCTGCTTTGTATGCTGCGTTTTACATGTAACACAGTAGATAAAATGCAAGATTATATGCTTGCGTTTTTTGGGATAATAAAGTAGATAAAATGGAAAAGTGCTTTGCAGAAGGTTTTGTTTGTATGCTGTGTTTTTCGGATAAAAAGAATGACTAAAATTTTTAGGAATTTATATAGAAATCGTGCATCTATATATGTTTACTATATTAATGGCAATTGTTAGCTTTCGAATTTCATTTAGTTTAAATTCAGTTTGCCCGCCCCTTTTTCAATGCTTTCAAATTTCATTTAGTTTAAATTCAGTTTGCCCGTCACTTCTTTTCCATTGCTCTTGGTAATTTGTAACTGACAATTAATAATAACATATGAATAAATCATGTGCTAAAGTCATGGAATAATAACATTTCTCTATTATTTTAATAGATTATGTTAATTTTAAATTTCTTATTAAATCATGGGATAATAATATTGTTTATTGATTTTTATTTTTTTTGCAGGTCTAATCCAAAAACTTAAGAGTGGTCAATTAATTTATTATTTGTAATTTTTTTTTATTAATTTTTGGCGTGGTCAATTAATTTATTATTAAATGTAATTATTTGTATATGTGTTGTATAAATTATTTGTATATGCGTTGTATTCATTCATGGGGCAAAATAAAAAAGAATAAGAAAATAATTAATTATTATTTTACTGTCTAAATCTATATATAATCAAGTTTCTGCCTAATGAAAGTTTAATTTTTAATTCGGAAAATATTTCATATTTCATATTGGATGTGATTGTAATTGCCTAATCATAATTAATAATCAACATAATTCATGCAATAATAAGGTCTCTGTTTATTAAAAAAAAAAATTCTATATATATATAGATATCCTGTAACGTCTTTGAACGGGAAAGTGAAATGTTTCTTTTA